GCAAGTCATTTATAAATAGTCAGAAGAGAGGGGCCTGGGGAGTTTTTAACCTGTGGATTGCTGTGGGCTGTGTGATTGCTGTGACGGGATTTTGCCTGTGTGTGTATGGGGTGAGCTGTGCAGTGATTGATGAATCCCTTAATTAACTCCCAACAAGTTAAGATTTATGGCCTCATATCTTTTTCTCCTGACACATCTGTGTTTGACACTTTTGAAGACATGGATAAGCCCCTTCTCCAAAAGCTTTTGTAGGTATCTGAAATGTTTCTGAGGTATTTTGCTTAATGTAACAAGATTAGAGTTTTATGACACAAAATTTATGAAATTTTATGGCAGGAACAATCCAGTTGGAGAGGATGCAGGTTGTGTGCTAGAGGGCACTATCTCCTTGAGTACTGAACACCACTTCAGGTTTATTTGGGGAGTACAATCATCGATGAAATGAACCAAAACCAATGAACAAATGCAGATGTAGAGGGGGACACTTAAGTGAGGTTCTGTTAAAAATAGTAATAATAAAAAAAATACAGCTATGGAAAGATCACTTATGTGAGACACTGAATCCAAGGGAAAAAGCAAGCAAGAAAAATAGTCATATTTAGCAGCCTGGAATTATTTGGATGGAACCAATAAGTGTAGGAAACAATTCATGCGGATGTAGTGAAGCTCTTACTTGCTCCAGTGGGAAAATCCAGCCATGCTGAAGTCAATGCAGAAACTCTGAGATCAATAGACACAGGGTCTCAATTTAAGCCTACAAAGAGTCTGTTACAAACGGAAGGGCATAAAGAAATATTTGGAGAAACTGTTGTAATATGAATCACATAAAATATTTGTTGGATAAGAGTGAGTTAGAACAATGAGGTTTTTACTTCCCTTAAAAAACATTCTTCCTACCAGGAAAAGCATTTATTCAATGAAAATTGAACAAAAAGCATGCTTGGGTTTTTTTGCCTGCAGTTTCTACATATTAAGAAGCCTTTCTGAAAACAGGTCTCTTTACAGGGAACAGTACCAAATTTGAATTCATCACCAGAATTAAATCTTCATTTCCATCTGAACCACTGATAAACTCAAATATGGAGGTGCATTTCATAATTCCAGTGTGTCTGTGGAATGGCCTGGGTACAGGAATGGTGTGTCCTCGTGCATCAGAACTTTGCAGATTTAGGTCCTCTAAAAAATTGCCACCTTGCCACCTACCTCTTTTTATTCAGTAGAAGTGATTAATGGCATTTCAAAATGCAATTCTTCTTGAAACAATGAAGTTGCAACAGATTTAATCTACATTTGGAATCTGGTGTGCCGTATTGCTTTTGTACTTTTGTACTTTTCTGAGTTACATCTTAGGGTTTCGGGGGTGCTTTTTTTAATCCTATCCATAAATTGGTGTTTCCTGATCCATTGTAAATCATCTTTCAGAGTGATGTAACTGGAAACCATTCTGAGTTTAAATTTGAGGAGAAGATCTTGAAGCCCTGTGAGCTGTGAACTGTTGTGTTGTCACTGAGGGCAGATCCAGGATGTTTGCAGTCCTTTGTTGGGATGGGATAATTCCAGCACTTCATTAGGTCTAGATCTGGTTAAAAGAGCTCAGTTTCAGGTCATGTTGCTGCTCAGGATTCAGCTGTTTCCCTTTCCTTGTTGTTTGTGGTGGGAACTCTGCTTGCATCTTAGATGTGGAATCTGTTAGGAGCTGCCATTAGCTCAGTAGGATAAAGAAGATTTATGGAAAGAAGAATATAGGGGACGCATGATGTGGGGGCATGTCAAATTTGGGAAATGGACCAACCAAGCTGTAGAAATGATGAAAGACATTTGTAGATGACTTTTCCTTGTTTCACGTTTTCTGCTTGGGAACCTCTCAGAGATTTATTTGGTCCTTTGCTACTATAGACTTTGATAGTTATTGTCCTTTAGGAAGACATTTCCAAAAGTAGATGTGGATCTATTTATTTATTTATTTAAATCCTCTATTTTCTTGTGGAGATTTCTTACTCCTTATGAGAATCCAGGAAATTTCTGTGAGGCTGATTTTTGTCTGACTCGGGCTGGCTGTGGACAGAGCTGCCTGAACACAAATTGCATTTGATGGCTGAGCTGTCCAGGTTTGTGTGACCGTTTCTTTGGGTGTTCTTGGAAGAATAACCCAGATTAAAGCTCCATTTTGCTGCCTTAGCCATTTTAGTGATTTCTTAATCTCCTAAGCTGGTGATGGGCATGTGGCTTGTAATTTGAACTGGGTGTTTTAGAGACAAAAGGAAAAGTTTCTTCTGCCCTTTCTGCTTTCACTTTAGTTCGGTCTGCAATCCAACGTGTAGGTTTTCATTTTAGATCAAGAGCAAAATAATCTCTGTTACTGCAAGTGCGTGGAGGTGGACACCTCTATTATCTTCCTTGTCTGTTTATATCAATTCCCTGCAGAAAATTATTTCATCCCTGTTGGGAACAGTGACAAGCAGAGGAAGATGATCTGAAACTCTGTATTCACATCCAAAGTTAACAGAAGAGCTTTATTTCAGCGTGATATTCAAACTTTCCTTGTGAAGCAATGTGACAGAATCTGTGTTATTCTAGGTTAACAGCAGTAGGAGTTCTTGACACAGTTTGAGTATATCATGTATAATCCAAATCATCGATACAAAGCAAGGCATCCTCTCTCTCTGTAATTTATTGTCAGATTGAATTGCAGTGGGGACTTCTGTGCGTGGCTTACAATATTTTCAGTCATTTTATCAAATATAACTGTTCTAAAGTATAGAAAATTACTGTGGAATAATTGAGTAATGATCTTGGGTCCATCCCTTTTTGTTTGCCAAAATTGAGACAACTGCTCGGTGCTGATTTTCAGAGAGATTTTGTAAATGCTCGGGCTTCTATTAGAGTACTGTTAAAATGAGTAACCAAAAAACTTAAATTCAGCAGCAAATGTCGATCTCGGTGCAGTACAATGCAAAATATGAATAATTCACATTAACTTTAGAAGGGAGCTGTGTGGTTTCTGCAGAAGGGTTTGAGATCTGTCACATCAAACCTAGCTGTAAAATGCTGAATTCAGTGGGCTAGTAGCAAACTGCCAGTACGAGTCTCTCTGGTGATCTCTGTCTTGGTGCATATGCTTTGCTGCAGACACGTAGGTGGGGAAGCCTACAAGACAGAATTCAGGTAGGATGTATGAAGTGTTAGTCTGTTGGACTGAGGCAGACATTAATAGAAAATACAGATTGGTTCTCTGAGCGCTGGCAATAGGTGCTGTTCAGAACAGCCCATGTGCAGCTGCATGTAGGTTCTGGTAGGGGTTTTTTTTGTCTGAGTTTTTGTTGTTGGTTTTTCTGGTTTTTTTCCCTTTTTTTTTTTTTTAAATATAATCTAACTTGGCTCAGGAGGCAAGGCTCAAAACGAGATCTTTAGGAGCAAAATAAGTCTTAACAAAGGGCTGTTTAAAGTGGCTGTTTGTTTTCAGACCCAGTTGACTGCTGCTGAGAACCTTTCCTTGCTCAATGTGCCAAACCCTGTGGACAGGCTGCACCCACAGCAGCCCCACACATGGCTCAGGAGCTCCTGGGCTCTTCCAGTGCAGCCCTTTAAGTGCAGAATAAAAAATGGAGTCATGAAAATCATAAATACGACATTTTTGAGGAGGAGCAATTTTACTTCAGCCCCTTTTTTTATTTCTGCATACAAATAGTCTTCAGTTTCCTCATTTATAACTTTATTTATTTATTTATTATTATATAATTATATAATGTATTATTATTTATTATTTAATTTATTATTTATTTATTTTTTTGTTTATTATTATTTATTTATTTATTTCCCTGTCTTTCACATCTTCTTTTGGCTGTGCCTGGAGGATTTCTCCTCGTTCTGCTCCTTGCAGATGCCCCTGGTTAGCACAGGGGGCCATCCATGGACATACTCTGATTTTCATGAACAAGGTTGCTGTAATTAATCCCAGATTTTGTCTGCCTTATAAGAGTTCACTGTACCCCCATCTGTTTTGGAGACCAAGCTGGAAGCATTCTGGGTTCTGTAAGATTTTCAGTAGTGCTTGTCTTGAATGATGCTTGAGTTTGCCCATGATTTAGCTTTCTTTCAGTGTCTCTAAAAGTTGGAGAAAAACATGTTCTATCAGACATTATCAAAAACTTCACAATGTAGGCCTGAATTTCAAGTCAATATTTCTGCATGGGTTTTGCAATGTGTGCTCTAGGTATCTTCCTTGTGTATCCTTTTCTGTGGAGGTACAGATATAAATTACATTTTCATGAGGGTTTTTTTTCTGATCCAGCTATAGAAAGGAATAATTTGATATATAGATAGATTTGATAGCAGATCTTCATTCAGTCCTGACCTTCACTCAAAGCCCCTAACTTTATTTTATCAGAAAGCTTAGATTATTAATGTCCAAATGTTTAATTGCTTAACTATACTGGGTCTGCAGACCTGGAAAGATCCTTGCAACATGACTGTAGCACTCAGTTGCTCACATGGGTGAAATTTTGTAAACACAGACGTTTTGGCCCGCTAGCAAGTTCTTTTATTGTGTTGTATTTTATTTTACTTTATTTTTTTTATCAGTTGTGGTCGATAATGAGATGCAGATGATTATTCCTTAAAAGCTAGGTTGACAATGGCTTGTATCGGGAGACATTCTATCTTCATAGAGTCCCTTGCAAATGCAAAACTAGATGGGTATTTTTTAAAAGGAATTGCATTTCATTACGCAGTCTTAGGTGAATTTTCACGTTTAAGAAGCCAGAATACAAGGGAGCGCTATATTAGTGTATTATTCTCACAACAAACAAGGCACTGTTCTGTTGCTACCTGCTTGGCCATTGTTCCCAATTGTGTGTGCTTTGCAGTGGTATTTGGATGGTTTCCTGCTCTCTGCCAGCACAAAAAAGGCATTTCTGTTACAATGGCCCCTAACCACACAATGACGGCATTAAGGATTTATTTGGAGGTTTCATTATTTTCTCCTCTTTTGTTCCTTCCAGGATGTCTTCCAAGCGACCAGCCTCTCCGTATGGGGAAGCAGATGGAGAGGTAGCCATGGTGACAAGCAGACAGAAAGTGGGAGAAGAGGAGAGTGACGGGCTCCCAGCCTTTCACCTTCCCTTGCATGTGAGTTTTCCCAACAAGCCTCACTCTGAGGAATTTCAGCCAGTTTCTCTGCTGACGCAGGAGAACTGTGGCCATAGGACTCCCACTTCCCAGCACAACACAATGGTAGGTTGGCTTTGCTCTATTGTGCTCTATCTGCTCTGAGCTCCGCAGCAGCCCGAGCTGCCCTGGGTGGGGAGTGCAGGGCACAGGGCACCCCCATCCTGGGCGGCCGTGCCCCTGGCAGTGCAGGCTGTCCCTCGCCCTCGCCTGCTGGCAGTTGGGGTGCTGGAAGCGTGAGAGCTGCACTGGTGTGAGCTGGAGCTGTGTGTGTGTGTGTGTTCAGCAAACAGCAGGCGGGTTTGGAGCCCTGCAAGTGAGAGTCACGTTTGGCACGGAGTCTGAAACATCGCCCCGGTGCCAAGTTTGTGCAACACTAAAGCTTCAAAGACTGCGTGAAGGCAAATGAAAAAAGAAACCGAATTCTGATGACTTAAAAACTTAACGTCTGAAGCGTGATTCGCGTCACAGATACCCGCAATAAAATTTACCGTGCTTATGAATCAAATCAGCTCACTGCTTTTTGGCCTGTGAGTTCCACTCTACAGCTGACTCGGAGCACTCCATTCATGGCAGGCAGCTTCCAGGGGAAGCCCAGAACTGGCTGTGTCTTAAAGAACACAAAACAGTGCCCTGTTCTTGCTGGCATTGTAGTGTCACTGTGCTGGCTTTGGGCACATGGAGCACTGAGGCATTTTCAGAAATGAGAGGTGCAGGGAAAGGGCCCCAGCACTGAGGCATTTTCAGAAAGGTTCAGAGGTGCAGGGAAAGCTCCCCAGCAATGATGCATTTTCAGAAGGGCTGAGAGGAGCAGGGAAAGGCCCCCAGCACCAGGAACTTGCACAAAGCTCTGCTGTGAGCACAGAGCCAGCACAGTTCTTGCCTGTTTACAAATTGGCTGTAACTTTTCTGTCAGTCCCCCACCTCCACTAGGGCGCTGGTAATTTCACTGGAAGGGAACATAATAAGTGGACCTGCATATTTGAAGGCTTTTAAAAAAGCATTGCAAAATAGGTGATAGGGTATTCTCATAAAAGCCTGCAAGAGCTCCACAGTGGTATTTAAGCCCTTACAGCTCATTATGCATATGTAACAAGCCCTAAGTAAAAAGCCTTAGGGATTATTATTCCTCATAGGACCAAGTCACTGGATATTCACTGAAACTACTCTCCTAGACAGAATAACTCATTGATCCTGATCCATTTCCCTTCCTTTTTTTGGGCTAATGCTTAAGCTCAGGCAGTGCTTTGGAATACTTAATTTTAGTTTGTGTTATTGCAACTTTACATGGGGAAAGAACATCACTGGAGAAATTACTCATGGGCAGACAATGTCATTATCTTTTTTGAGCTTGTTTATTTCTCATCCTTTATCTTATGTTTTATGGAGATGAAATTCATTAACGTAACAGCTCCAGCCAGTGGGATGTGAGGGTATGTACTAATATATGGGCTTTGGTATATTGTGGCCTTTTTTAAGAGAGTGTTTTGAAGATAAGGAATTGTTTCTGACAGCATTTAAGTCAATAGATAAAGTTGTGAGGGCACCAGTAGTGTAGAATCAGACCCTAATGAAATAAAAACGTAATGTTTCCTAAGCATCCAGCAGGAGTATTTCAGCTACACCTCACTGGGACATTTAACTGCTCTTTAACTGATTTTAACTAACCGCTTTGCTTCTTTGGTCATTACAGTTTTTAAGAACAAGAGGTTTAGCTGATCTCCTGGTGTAGCTTCCTGCTATGGAGGTTGTGTTTAATGTGATGTCAGAACAGTATTTTCTGTCATTTTACAGTACAAGGTGCTGAATCAGGGGTGTTTTAGGTAGTTTTGCTGCAGCAGTGACACACTGCAGCCTTACCTGAGGCAGTGTTTGGGGGGCTCCAAGGGTCTTGTTTTGTCCTTATACATATTTAAGAAGATTGGCAGCCTGTATGAATGTAACATTTTGGTAATATCTCCCTTTCAGTGAGGACTGTGTTGTGAATCATCACTCAGGTAGTTTAGAAAGGATGGATGCAGCCTGTGTGTCTCCCGAAGGAAGGAAGTGATAGGTCTGAATGAGTAAAATAGCCATAATCACTCCCTCTGCTGTTGTGGTAGGTAGTTATCAGAAGGAAATCACTGGATAACGTTTGGATGAATTCAGTTGGTGTGCTTAGCAGTGACAAAAATCATTCCCACAGGGCATTCATTTCTAACCTGGCAGAGGACATTTTTGTACTGTTTCAATTGACATTCTGCTGTTTTATCCTCTCTGGGCAGCAGACCCAGGTGTGTGCAGGTGTGCACACAGCAGCACAGGCTGCAGTCTGATGGAGTTTTACTGATAAAGCTCCAGGAGCTTCACACTTCCCAACTTACACTCCTGGAAATTCACCCTGTTGCACTTCACCAAGTTTTAATAACTTAATGAGACAGCTCAAAATTCTGGGTAGGTTTTTATGAGAGGAGGGTAAAATTCCTATAAGGACATCTTCAAACCTGATCAAAATTTGCAAAAATCTGCAGAGCCCACCAAAATGAACAGGATGTTTCTGAGGATGTTGGAAGTGCAGCTCAGTTGGGCTCAGGGATCACTGTCTCCAGCTTTCTCTTGATAGAAGAAACTGGGTACTTATTTCACGTAGGAAAACTCTTCTCATGATAAGAAAAGAAACAATAACTTATCAGATTTAGAGCAACTGCTCAGTAGAAAATAAGAGGCAAATGGTTTGACCTGGAATATATCTGAGATTTTTCCCTGCCATGAGCCTTGCAGGGAAGCCCTTGAGGATTACAGTATCAGTCAATGGCTCTTCTGAAGAAACCTGTTAAGGCCTCAGTATTTGGGTAGCGCAGATAGTTGTTAGCTCATCTGAGTTACAAAGGTTTGTTTTACTTGTTTCTATTTGCCTGCCTTTATGTTCTATTTGTCTGCTTTTGCAACTCTCAAGACCACTGATCTCACCAATGGTGTCTGTGTGCTAAATTCTGGAAAATGAGAAATGTCAAGGCTAAAAGCACTGATTAAAGTATTCCACAGGCATGGTGTGTTTAAATCAGAGCATCCTTTTTAGCTATAGAATATCAGTGAAATACAGGATGGGATTAAAAATACAATAACTAAAAGAAGTACTGAAGAAAAGGTCAAAGTGGTAAGTCATAATTCTGCCATTCCCTGGTTGTTCCAAACTGATGGCTGTGACTACACTGGTAGCCCACATCTGTCCTGCACTTTCAGTGGGATTTAGAATTCATTTTCAATAGTGCTTTAAATTGATAGGAAATATTCTGGTGCACTGTTCAATAACTTTGTTGCTTCACACTGAAAGAAGTTGTGTTACTGTGGTGAATGAAGTGACTCCTGTGTAACTTGGGAATAATATTGAGAATGGCAGTTCTGCTGGTCAAAGAGCTCACCAGCACATTGCTTTGTGCTTTTCCTCCACTTGCTCAAGTAAAAGGTTGTTTAATGCTTCATTTGGATTCTCTTATCACATCTCTCCTGGCCTGTGCCTCACCTGTTGGCCTGGAGTTGTCAGCATATGAATGGTGGTGGATCAGAACAACAAGCGCTGGAGCACTCAGCCATTGTTGAGGCCTTCCGAGGAGGATGGAAATCTGAATGCATATAGCTTTTTAAAAAGTCAAATAGGACTCTAATTATACTGAGCTAAAGAATGCATATTAAAAAAAAAAATAAAAAAAAACAACCTCACAGTGGTTTCAGAGAAATTTTAATTTCCAGTGTACCTTTGAGCATCAAGCTTAGGATAAGTTATTGTGAAGATACAATGCACAGTGTTGTGAACACCAGTGCCTTTACTGTGCCAGCTCTCATAATGAGAATTTCATTGTTTGGGGAGAGCAGTCTCCTACACTCTAGACAAAAGTGTAATTACTTTTGAACGATGTGGAATGTGCTCAGTTTAATAGCATGGAGAATAGATTCACAAAGATTCAGATAAAGCTAGCTTGGAAGCCATATGTGCAGTGTGGCAGTATGAAATTGTTAGCAGGCACCATAATTACAACACACACACGCACACAATTTCACAGTTTAAACTAGAAACTGTTGTTTTTGTAAGAGATAGGCCTAGCTGAACAGGACTAGTTTAATTAAAGTAAACCAGAAACAGTGGTAAGTTTGCCTTTGTCTGCTGTTCTTTCCCTCCTCTCTTAGTGGTAAATTGATATTTATAAGATGATGAAGTTGCAAACACTGCATTGTAAATGTCACCACAAAAGTGGCTGGTGGAAGCAGTCTGTGCAGATACAACTTGAGGCTTTTACCAGGGTTTAATCTTTATACTTGGAGCATTTCAGGGAGTCACCGTGTGGGCTGTTAGGAAGGGGAACAAATAAAAAGGAATCAAGTCAGGACCCATCAAAGGGCTGCAGAAATTGCTGCTGCACTGTTCAATGCAGACCCTGGAGAACTCTCTGCAGAGATTGAGGATCAGGTGTGATGGAGCCAGAAACAGCTTTGATAACTCTTTGATAACACTTTGATAGCATCTTGCGTTCAGGTTGGGCTGATCTGTGTGTCCCAATGTCCTGGTCCCTGCTCTCCATCCCTGTGTCCTGCTGGCATCACCTGCTCCAGGTGCAGCTCCTGTCTGGGCACGCAAATGCTCTCACCTGCATTCCCCAGGTGAGCCAGGGTCAAAGCCATGGGGCCTTTCAGGAGCAGTGTGCTCTTGTGGAAATTTCCCTCTGTTTATTGAACCACCCTCTTAACACAGTGACTTTTGCACACTTGTGGCCGTGGAAAAGCAGGGTGGGTGCATCATTCCCAGCAGAAACACCTGCTGAAGTCTGAGGTGACCCATTGGTGTTTTGATCAGACTTTGAAAGGTCCAAAGGGACATTAAATAAGTAATGAAGTAAGAAAACTTCTTTTTTTAAATTTTTTTCCCCCGTTCCCCAAGCAGGAGGGTTAAAACGACATTTAAACCATTAACTTGACAAATCAAGACCAGACTTACAACATATATTGTGTGGAATACAGGGAGCAGATGACTGTAGTTTTTAAAGGCCACGAAGAGAAGAGGAAACAGCAGTTGTTTGTTTTTGCTGAGGACC